GCTTGTTGCAGAAATGTGTTCCACCATCACTTATCATCGCTCGAGAGATTCCAAATCAATTCAAAATATTTTCTTTCAAAAACTTCATCACTATTTTTTTTTATCATTGTTTCGACTTGGAATTGCATCTATCCATTTTGGAACATAATCCACTGCAACTAATATGTACAAGAAACCAAATAATAGAAAGAATGGACCTATGAAATCTATACCCCAGCAGTCAAAGTTCTCAATGATAAGAATAAAATTTAAAGGCATCATGTGACGTTTTGAAATAGATCCTAACTTTTGACAATTCTCACAAGTTTTGTAGAATGAATATGAGTCCTTGAACATGGTGGGCCAGTAAAATCCACTTTTTAAGATTTTTGAATTTGTCTTTCTTGATGAGAAATGACCCCCATATGCCTCAGAATGATAAAATTTAATGACATTACTTACCTTATTGTTAGGAATGCATCTTCAAAATATTTGATTAGGATAATATTTGAATAAATAAGGGTTATCCCAATAAAAGTTATTCACTTCATTCAAGAACTTTCTTTTATCTTAGGTACTCCAATGAGCTAGCAATTGTTTTGAAATAAGAAAATTAACAATATTAGCAAACAAAGGCATTGTAAAGACAGAAAGTAAAGATTCATCAGGAAAGTAGTCATCGATTGTGATGTCAGTTTTTGAATCTTAACAAATGATCTGCGACAATATTTTGGGTACCTTTCTTATGGTTGAATAACAGGAGCAGATGTAAGCAGGTTTTTAAGTTTAACAAAGGCTTCTTCACAATGTTCAGTCCATTAAAAAATATTATCCTCTATTAGAAGATTACTTAATGGCTTATATATTACATTAAAATCTTTGATGAACCTTATATAAAAACCAGCATGTCCTAAGAATGATCTAACATCTTTAATAGATTTTGGTGTTGGCAAGTTAGTAATTAACTTGATTTTTGATTTGTCAACCTCAATTTCTTTTGATGATACAATGTAACCAAGTACAATGCCGTTTGTTACCATAAAGGGACATTTTTCCTAATTTAGTACAAGATTCTTCACTTCACACTTGCTCAAAACCTTTTCTAAGTTAGTCAAATAATCATCAAATGTACACTAAAAACAGAAAAATCATCCATAAAAATCTCAAGAAAATGTTCAACCATATCACTCAATATATTGAGCATGCATCTTTGAAACGTGGCTGATGCATTATATAATCCAAAAGGCATCATTCGATATACAAAAGTACCAAATGGACATGTGAAAGTAGTCTTCTCTTGATCTTTCAATGCAATTTCAATTTGGTTATAACCTAAATAGCCATCTAGGAAACAATAAAATTCATGACCTGCAACTCTTTCTAGGATTTGATCCATGAAAGGTAAAGGAAAATGATCTTTTCTAGTCATTGAATTAAGTTTCCTATAGTCAATGCACATGCGCCAACTAGTAATAATCCTAGTGAGAATTAATTCGTTCTTATTTGTTATCACAGTGACTGCAGACTTCTTGGGTACAACTTGGGTAGGACTTGCCCATTTGCTATCAGAAATAGAATAAATGATTCCATTATCTAAAAGCTTAATGACTTCATTTTTCATTACCTTTTTCATATTAGGATTAAGCCTTCATTGCATTTCTCTAGAGGGTTTAACATTTTCCTTCAAATAAATTCTGTGTGCGTAAATCAAAGAACTAATTCCTTTTATGTCAGCTATGGTCCATCTTAATGTATTTTTGTGCATTTTCAGAGTTTGCAATAACTTACCTTTTTTATATGCATTAAGTTTGGAAGAGATTATTACTAAAAAATTTTCATTTTCTCCCAAAAATGAATATTTGAGATTGAATGGTAACGACTTTAAATCATGTTTGGGTGGTTGAACACTTGAAGGTATGGATTTAATTGATCGTGGTGGCATTTTCTCAATTTATGGTCTCCAATTATTTGGCTTTGATTTTTCCTGAAAATAAACTATTTGCAAATCATTAGATTCATCAATCTCAATTTCACTGGAAGTGGTTTGAAATTAACTAATTCGTCAATATGATCTACTTCTTGTAAATCATTATCATCTCCAGGTTGCTTGCAAATATTAAAAATATTCATCTCCAATGTCATGTTTCCAAATGGTAACTTCATTAGTCCATTCCTATAATTAATCAACGCGTTAGAAGTTGCAAGAAACTGATATCCTAAAATAGTAAGAAATGAATTACATGCTTCAACAGGTTGTGTGTCCAAGAGTTTTTTCTAGAAGGTGGAGCATAAGGGGGTGCATATCCATGAGTATTTTAAAAATTATGGTGTGCTTAAAATGCTGGTTATGAAGTTTATGCATTGTTATTATCACTCTTCCAATTGAAATTTAGGTGATTTCTCCAACTAGTGTTATATGTTTGCGAGTATGGGTTATGGTTGGGCATTTAGAAACTGTTTAAAACATGGGGTTGTTCATGGAGACATTCTTTAAAATAAGGCAAAGTTGAACAATCATCGGTTGAATGTTTATTGGTTTCACAGACTTGACACACAATGTCTTGAACATATTTTAATTGACCACTCTTTTTCAATTCTAGTGCCTCGACTTTTCTAGCTAAATATGCAAACTTGGCTTGAAGGTCATGATATTCCCTAAGATTGTACATACGTCTACTAGATGTATGAGGTTGAGTTTTACTCGGTGTCTTATAAGTATCTGCGATGTCCTAATTTTGAGCATTTTCAGCTAACAAGTTTAAGTACTTCATTGCTTCATCAGGGTCTTTATCTTTAAAAGTTCTATTGCACATCAATTTAACCATTTGCCTATCTCTAGATGTTAACCCTTCATAAAAATATGAAATCAATCTTCATATTTCAAAACCATGATGAGGGGAAGTATTAAGCAAGTCTCAATACCTATCCCAACATTGGTAAAATGTTTCTCCGGGTTTTTGAGTGAAAGTGGTGATTTTTCTTTTAAAAGAATTTGTTCTGTAAGAAGGAAAAAACTTCTTTAAAAATTATTGTTGCATTTCATCCCAAGCATGAATAGAACCTAGTCTTAAATTTTGTAGCCATGTTTTAGCTTTATCTTTTAAGGGAAAAAGCTTTAATCTGATGGTGTTCATGCTACAATTTGAGTCATTATACATGTTCATGCTACAATTTGAGTTATTATAGGTGTTACAGACCTCCTTAAATTCCTTTAAATGTAAGTATGGATTGTCTAAATCTAAGTCATGAAAAGAAGGTAAAAGTTGAACAATGCATAACTCAAAATTGAAATGAGATGCATCAGTAGGGAAAACTATGCATGAAGATACACTTGTTCTTGTGGGATTCATATGATCTCTAAAGTTCTAAAACGGTTATTCTTATTATGAAGCGACTGGTTATCTTTTTTGACCATATTTTTTAAAAATAATGAGAATACCCTACAAAGTTTATCACTTAATGTACGTGATCAAACTCTCATGTACGTGTAGGAAGAGAATAAAAGAAAGAAAAGAAAGAAAGAAAAAGAAACAAAACAAAACAAACAAAGTTAGATACAAGAAAAGTAAAAAGAGAAAATAAAATAAATACTATAATTTGTACAAGAATTTAACTTCCCAGCAACGACTCCAAAAACTTAATGCTACCAAAAGATTGATATCTTCTCTCAAGTGCAGGAGTGTCGAAGTAATAAATAACCCGGCAAGACCGGGGTCGAACCACAGGGAGGTTAATTGTACAAATTATAAACAACAATTATAAAACAACA